CGGCGGGGTCGGGCGGCGGCGGCGGGGTCAGGCGGCTGTGGCGGCTCGGGGCTAGGGTTCCCCCGGGGCTGGGCCGGCTTATAAAGCCACCTCGGGCCGGAGTCCTAGCCGGAAACGACCCGTAGGTCGGTTCGTTTTTTTTAACGCGCAGAAGAAAAAATAAAAAGAAATACTAAACGGACTCCAAAAATTCCGAAATAAATTTTCACGGGCTGCTAAAATGAAGCCGCACAAGGTGAACATTTATTTGGGACCTAAATGCAATTTTGAAAAACGCACATTTTTCCTAAATTCAAATAAAACACCGAAAAACTTCGATATAAAATATTATTTGATTTTATTATTTGATCCTCAATATTTCTTTATTTTGGGAAAGTCATTTTATTCCCTCTCTCATATTTTTGTAATAGAAATAATTAATGATAAAATAAATAAAATCAAATGATCATATTCTCAAAATTTGAGAAAACTCAAATATGAAAATAACGAAACCCCCAACTCTCTCCGTGGGTCCTTGAGTTGCTTAGGATTTCTAGGATCAACCAAAATGCAAAATAAAATATGATATGCATAGATGATCTAATGTATAACATTCCAAATTGAAAATTTGGGATGTTACAAGTGTGAAGCTGATCATACTTCTGTTAAAGTATGTAGGTACACAGATTTTGTTGAATCCGTCACGATATTTTCCCTCTTCTACTACTTCTCTTACAGAAAGCATGATATATAAGACCAACTAGCCACAAGCTTAGCGTGAGTCATATATATACATTGTTTTTTACACGATCCATAGATATCAAGCATAGTAGAAAGCCGTATTAGATGCTACTTTCGTGTATCTAGGCATCCTCTCTCTTATTTCAAACTAATGATTCACGCCTCTAGATTATGGTCCTAACCTTTTTGAGAAAACAATTGGTAGCCAAAGCCAAGCATGATGGTTTAAGTGTCATAGATGATCCATTCTCTGCCTCTTTACTAGCACAGTTTAATAGAAGGACTACAATTTATGTTGATCTATAAATGATTTATTCCTTATTAAAAAAATAATTATATAAGCTAATAGTGAATTTCCTTCTGTTTTTCAGTTCTCAAATTGTTTTGTCTGTTAGCAATCCAAATTAAAGTTATATTGAGCAATAGATAATTGGTTCAATTTTTTAGATCTCAAACGACTTTGTCTGCTGCAAGCTCCATTTGCTGCCGATGGCAAAACTGGTAACAAATAGATTTACTTGGCGACTTTTTTAAGATTGTAGATCACTTTGTCTGCTACAAGGAAAAACTCAATTTGCTGCTTAGGACAAAACTGACAACATATTTATTTACTTGGTCCGAAGAAATCCACCATTGCAGCAGGTTACATGTACGTGGTGATCAGCTTTTGTCTTTTTTTTGCGGGAAAGACCAAGTGATATTAATCCAGTACCCTTACAGAACAGTCCTCAAAAGATAAGACAATTACAAACAAGTCCTTAAGGATAAGGAAGACGCCGCCGTCGATGAAGACGTGCCGCTGGCACGCCGCCGCCGCTCCTCCTCTACAACCTTGGATCGGACGGAGTCCCATGGCGGTCAGGAAGTCAACGGACCTCGAACCCAAAGGGCCTCCACCTTGCATCGTCGCCATCGCCTTCGATCTGGACCTCATCACCTGCATCTTCCAAACTTTCAACAACTGGAGCCGCCGCCTACGGACTCCGGCACGGGAAGAAGGCGCACGGCAACTCCGCCGAGTTACGAGCACCAGGAAGGAGGCGGGGAAGTGGTCGGATTCCGCAGAACCCCGCCACGGGAGAAGATCACCGCCGCCACAAACCACCAACCCGACAGCGCCTCCCGAAGTGTCTCCACCGAGGTTTCCCCACCCTCCCGCCGCCGAAGCGGCCGGCAGAGGGGGGGAAACCAGCGAGCCGCCGCCGGCGAACTAGATCGAACGGGGAAGGGGAAAAAATCGCCTCTCCTACTGTAGCGGGGGAGAGAGCAGAGCCAAGGTCTCAACTTGTGCCACCTACCGTGGTTTCGATCAGCTTTTGTCTTATCTGGCCTGAATGGACATTATTATAAAAAAACTAACTTATGTGATGGTAAATGCATGAATAACAAAGAAGTTAACTTGGACAAGGAAGTTAAGTTAAAAAAAGGAACTTACACTTGCCGGTATCAATTCTGTGTTAATTAGTTATGTTGGTTTGTATATGGTTCACTCCAGAATTTATCACTTCAAGGTAACGCTGGCCGGGCAGAACACGTGTGCATACACTGTCACTGTTTTCATTCCTTTAAGCTATAAAGCAAAAACACGTGCACATGAATTTTACTTCTTTTGTTGTTGTTCGAATATCAATGAGAAAACAATTACATGTTTTAGAAAAGGTAACTAAAAATTATAGTCTCACTTGGCAATAAAGTCTTAAAACCTTTAAAATAAAAATGTTATTCAAAATCAAACTAGCCCGTGCGGATGCACGGGTTGCTAACTAGTTAAATTAAGCACACCTGAAATTAAACTTTGCAACTATTCCGGTAGACACTGCATTAGAACCACCATGAGCAACGACACTGCCACCTTACTCGGAGTCCTCGTCCACGTCCTCGACTTCGTCCTTGTTCCTCTTCATCTTGGCTGATACTTCTTTGCTTGAACCGCACACTTGGCTGTTGCTGTTCATCCAACCCTTGTAGATATTGAAGCAAAGGTAGCCATCCATTGCGGCATAGTGGATGTGGTCTATATCTAGTACATTCCGCTGCCATGCATGACGATGAAACGTGTATGGAGGTTTCTACAGTTTACCGTACGAAGGATGAACCATGGCTCCTGCCAGGGTCAGCATTGAAGGCTGACGAGAGGACACCAGCTGATCCTTCTGGAGGTCGAAGGGGTTGCCTACAACAAGACCTATCCGACGCAGGACATCCATGTCGTTCTTAAAGTCTACAGTAATGAATTTCACTACTTTGTCCTTGAGGAAGTTCTTAAAATCCTGGCACTTAACGTTGGCATGGCATATGTGGTAGACCAAGCAAACGTTATCTACGTAAACCTGGATCACGGCGGGCTTCTTCCTCTCTTCGTCCTTTAGATCCTTCTCTGGTCCCAGGACTGTGGTGTACTCAACATCTAGCCCAGCGACCCACTCATCATCTAAGTTTTCGAACATGCGTCTGAAGCGAGAAAGGCATCCTTTCACCGTCGCGGAAGAACGGGTGTAGATGACGTCGAACTCATCGCCGGTGATGGTTCTAACCTTGTACTCACCACCGATCATGGAGATTTGGGATGCCATCGATTTGGGAGGAGGGTTAGGATTAGTGGAACTGCCGTAATGTGAATGGACGGGACGACTAGGAGCGAACCGCCATAGTATTGAAGGGCGTGCGGGGACGAGTAGGAGCGAACTGCCAGCGTGCGAACGGTAGGGTAGTGGCTTTCCATTCTCCCATGATACGGGCTTCCGAGAGCCCTTGGATCTGAGATCGAACGGTTGCATGGCATGATTCTAGACCTATGGGTGAATATCCTATCCTGGAGGGTTATTCTGTAAATTTTCAGCAACTTAGCATGCGACCGTTTGATCTCAGATCCAAGGGCTGCTAGCAGCCCGTATCATGGTCGCGCCTACCACGACTGTCGCCTTGCTCGCGCGGTCGCGCCCTTGGAGATTTAACACGGTGCGTTAGGCTATCTGATGTTGGCATGTCATACATAGTCATCACTTAGTCACTCATACTACAACAAGGTTAGCTATAAGTGTATTTTTTTACTCCTCTCTATCTCTTTCTTCGTACTCAAGGAAGAAACGGTGCTAAGCGCGTGTATTTATTGCATTTGCCAAGGAGTGACCTCTTCCAATGAAATGGTGTTGCTAAGTTTGCTTCATTTAATTAGCTATAGACTCAAAATTGTCTTTTCACCTAGGTACACGCACTTAGCACCGTTTCTTCCTTGGGTCACCAAACTAGTCTCTCTCTCTTCTTGATTAACTTGCCACATCAGACTTTATGCTTATGTGGCAAGCTTAAGCACCTGTAGGAGCAAGTAAAAGTAAGTACAATAATGCGCTTTACATGGCATTTTTGCATATATGGAGGAAAGAGAGGCAAGGAAAAAGTGGAGAAGTGGGCTCTCATGCAAGAGCCAGCCTCTACTACATGGTGGAGTATTGGGAGAGGCACCTGTATGGAGGTGGTCAGGAATCTGGGAGACTCACGCCGGTCGTAGCGCCGCAGTTAAAATGATAATGGCAAGTCAAATCACGGGGCCCCACCTGTCCAGCAGTAACTCGCTGTCAAATCACACAGCCCTATGTTTGCAGCAGCCTACTCCCTTGTCTTCTCCCGTCTCTATCGAACCGACTAGGCGGAACTGTCCCGCCGCCTACCGCGCAGGAAAAGCCCCGCCCTCGACTTTTAAATACGACTACATCTGCTTAAGAATCTAATGATATACTTTTTATGACATAGTAAGTCATATTTAGTTAGTCAAATGGATGACCTAGAACTACGTGCAGGCCCTATAAACCAAGATGCCTAAAAATAAAAAAACCGAGACGGAGAGGGCAGTTCAGCATGTATCTTTTTAGATCAATATAGTCGGGATTCACCAAGGAGCAAAACTAAGTGGTAGGCTGCTCCTGTCGTGTTGGCGTAGCAACTCAAGAAGGGTCAGTCCGCACACGAAATGGCGACACACTTAACAAGACCCCTTTGGCCGACATGTGGCTCATCCACCATCTTGTTCCACGTGCGATGCACCAAATTATAGTTCAGAGCAGCGGTTGGAATTGGAGCACCCTGGTCGTAGCGCCATAGTAGTAGAAAATGAGCGACAAGGGGTCAAATCACAAAGCCCAACCTTTCTCGCATTAAGCTGGACGGACGAAGCAACCATCATTTCACTCTAAGGCGCAAGAGCATGAAGAAAAGATAAAACAATGATGCGTGCGGGAGCTACCTAGGGCACCCCAGGGTAGGGGTCTCCACTACAGATCCTTTTTTTTGAAAGCGCCTCCACTACAAATCGGCTTCTCCCTCGTCCTCTTGAAGAAAACGATTATGAGTGCGGCGGTAGGGTTTGTAGGAGTACTACAGCGTGCGGGGCCATGTCGTAGTAAATGGGTTCGAGCCGACGCCTTAAATATGTGTGGGCCGCTTGGTTTTACGGGAACGAGGTAGCATTTTGGGTTCGGGGACCAGTGGAGATATAGTATGTACAAAAAATTATGGACGTAGGTTCGACCGAAAGGCAATGATTCATGGGCCCTGCATTTTGATATACCCGAGGCCGCGTGAAATTTACTACTCTACTCAAAACTAGTAAGGTACACATGTATTGAACACATGAGATTTCGAAACCAAATTATGAATAAATACACACTATAGGATGTAAAGCTTTGAGTCATATATGCATGATGTAGATGTTCGCTTAGTTCTTATAGTTCATCTCATTCAAAATCAATAAGTTTTATAAAAATGTTAAGATTCATGGGGTTGTGCATTGTACTCCCTCCGTTCCAAAATAGATGACCCAACTTTGCACTAACTTTGTACAAAGTTAGTGCAAAGTTGGGTCATCTATTTTGGAAAGGAGGGAGTAAATCATAAAGTAAAAAACAAATAATTGCAATTCATTTAGAAAAAATAATCAATTATGATACAGAAGATTCTAGAACAAAGGATAAGTGCTTGTGTTTTGAGGTTTGTGCATTATGCTTAAGTTCAACAATGGAGTCTTCTAAATTGTACATGTGGCAGATCTGGTGGAATGTTGATGATATCCAACGGCCAGTAGTGCTCGGATTTGCCTATCTCTGCACTGTCGGGTTAGCTTCATCCAGCGACCATCTTTCAAAGTTATTGGCACACTATATAGTTCTTGTGCCATAGTTGCATGTTCTGGAAAAAAAGCTACTAGTGGGTTGTACTATCTATTTAGGAATAGAAGATGTATACATGGAAGTTGTAGGGAAAGAGATGACATGGAGCATCTCAATTCCTATGAGTAGGGATTGGAAAAGAGATGTCATTTGGTTCACATCATAGGAACTTTTCTATTGAATATAGAGATGACATGTTTCTCAATTCCTATGAGGAGGGATTAGAAAAGAGATGTAATTTGGTTCATATCATAGGAACTTTTCTATTGAATATACGCTAATGTTTATTTTCCTTTGAAATTAAGGGAGTACAGGAATCCATTCATATGAACCAAGTGGCTCTAAAGCTATAGAAATGATATCATGTTTATTTCCTTTGAAATGTGGAGTATATGAATCTATTCCTATGAACCAATTGGCTCTAAAGGAAAAAATCCTATAAAAATCATATCATATAGAGTTCCTATGATATTCCTCGACACTAAAGGATGCTTGAAATTGCTGCGGGTGATACGATGGTCTTTCTTTGTAGACTCCTCGCCCAACTTTATAGTTACCTCTCGAAGATGAATGAAATGATATATACATGGTATTCTACATGTGCAATTTGGTACACGAAAACTCGGTAAAAGTTTGCGAGGTTCGAATTTTCAATAAAGCTATATGCACTGCATTTCGAAATGGAGGGAGCATACAGCAGTTGCTAACACTCACATGGAAGATTTGTGTGTAGGAGGAGTGGCTGTTCTGTTAAATGACATGGCAAAACTGACACTGTCTGATGCCGATCTAATGGTCCTTACGGCGTTCGTCAGGAAAAGGCTTGTCGCGAACGTTTGTCAGATAATGATTTACGGACACATGCATTGCATTGATACGTGCCCCCCTCTCTCTCACGCACACGCACCCTCATGAGTCACGACTCTCCCGAGTCCTCTCGCAGACTCGCACATCGCACCCACCATCTATCTGCAGGTAGACGTCACGCACATATGTGCTCTTCACACCCTACCCTCAGAACTTCTAAAAAACAAAAGACGGCGCGCACATTT